GCCGCTAGCTCACAATGAATTATCAGAATGACACTGAACTATTGAACCTGCTCCACTTGGTCGGGCGGACAGTGAAGCATAATTAAATAGAACGCAGCTTTGCTTGACTCGGGTTTCTTATGGTTGAATTCCTAAATCGATTAACTAAATATAAATTATTAAAAATTTGTTTCATAGATTAGAATATCCTAAATGTCTGAACAAAATATAAATATATATATATATAATGTTTATTATGTAAAAAAAATATTTAAAAATTTATTTCATAAATTAGAATATCGAAAAATAAAATGATATATTTAGAATTTCAATTGATATTAATTAAAATAATGTTAATATAATAATATAATATAATAATATAATATAATATAATATAAATTCCCATCATTAAAAAATATTTGCAAATTTTCTACATTTCTAACTGTTGCACACATCGAGTGAGCACTGTACTTGTACTCGAAAACGTGTCTTTTATAATCGTGTTATGTGATTTGTGACATGTTTATGCAAAATATTATTAGAAACCCATTCATTAACTTCCTGCACATATTTGTCTTATTATTTACGTGCGAGCCATAAAACTGTCTGACAAAATAAAGACAGGATAAGGTTAGTTCCTGCCTGCAGCCCAGCCCCAGTTGCCTTAAGATTTACTTGCGATGTTGCAGAGGCGTGTGGCGACTATGTAGAGCGCTTAAATTGTTTACACAAACTGGTGTCTGGCGCCAATTCAAAGACATCCACTTGGAAAGCAGTTGGCGCCTGATCTTCAATTGCAAATGGAATGCAAAGACGCTGAAGGGGGGGGCGAAGCCATTGCAGTCTGCAGCTTGCAAATTGTTTCTGATCTCGAGGCAATCTTGTGAATGTGTTAGACGATTGTGCTGCAGCTTCACAAACGCCAACAACAACAAAAAAAGATGTCAAAGCAATTAGTTGAAATCAACTCTAGATACATCAGAATGAAAAGAAAAATACAAAATGTTTTGCCTCTCAGCTAAGCTGTTGCTGCTGCTCTTGTGTTTTAATGCCACATGTGTCGTCTTTTTACGACGCTGAACTATTTAAATTATATGGAATTTTTGTTTTTGTTTTTTTAATGAGCTATATAAATGTTTGGGTCTGTGGACCATGCACAAACATCTACAGAATTGTCGTGGAACATAATGTGCGTAGTGGCAGACAAGTACTAAAGGCTTAATGGGAAATACTTTTTCATAGCGTTTAATGGGGTGAAACTTTTAACCCTAGAGAGCAAAACGCTTTCGTAATGTAAACAAAACACAGAAATGTAATTTTTAAGAAACTTTTTGAGTATGTAAAATGTGTAATCAATATTTTATTAAATTATATTTTATTTATAACAAAATGAGAATATTAAGGTATAATTATTTATAATCGGCGTTCGCATCACGATCTTTAATTAAATAATATTATTTCCCTCATTTCTGGTAATTTTATGTTTTTATGTATTTAATTTTGTTTTTTCTCATTTACTAATGAATTTCTCTTTTCTTCTTTCAGGTAAGTTTCACACGCCCTTTACATTATTTTGTCTGTCAGGAAAGTCGAAAATTAAAACGAGCGTAAGTCTTAAGAGATATTTGCTTTAAGCTGTTTTAAAAAAAACCTCTTCAAACGATAGATTTGTTCCCAATTAGTTAGCTGTTTTTTGTCTGTTGTGCATTTATTAACACATTCCTTGAATTGAAGAGACAAATGACTCAACTAAGTTGTTACTTCAGCATAGTCAGTTTTTTAAGCTAAGCAATCTCTATATAAATAGAAATTTATATAGCAAAATATGTGTGCAAAAGGTGCTTAACCTGAGAGTTCGTAGAGATCGTAGATAACTAAACAGGTATTACAGCAGTAGATTATAGATAAACATAATTTATCTAAAAGCTCACAGATAAGCTGTATTTTCCTTTTGTTTTTTAATTTAATAATTTCCTTTGTCATATTATTTTTTCAGCTCATTAAGCCTCATTAGGATAACGTATAGAATGCGCTTTCAGAAGCCAGTTCCATTTTGCAGATCCTTTGATTAATTGGCAAACTTTTGCGCATCAGCGCACAACAAAAGGAGCTAACCTTAAGCACTTTGCCTGCTTTGTTGTTGTCGAATACAAAATTCATAATTCAGAATCAAATTTATGTTTGCACAGCTCAATTTTTGGCCAGACAAAAAAAAACTGTTGTCTCTTCTTAGAACTCTGTCAGGTCTGTCTATATATAAATACATATATATATATGTAAGTATGTGCTATACTTTCTGTATATTTGTGTATATATAAAACGGCGGCAAAGCTACAAAGTCTGGCAGACTTGCAAAAAAAAAAAAAAAAAAATCTAAATGAGAAACTTCAACTGAAAAGTGAAGCTCGCTTTGAAACTTCTTTCAAGCATTGAAATATATATTGCAGTGTATTTGTTTTATTTGCAATAGATATAGCTTGAACGATGTGAAGATACATTAACCTTCGTATTTTTGGTCGTTTCGACAATTCTCGTTGTTTTTGGTTGCGCAAATACGACAACGACAACGACAACAGCGACAACGACAGCGACAGCGACTTTTGTATCTAAAATCAACAAGTTCACAGCGAACATGAAAAAGATAAAACCTTTAAGCCTCAGGCATATACACGCACACACACACACACCCATTCATTGTCAGGCATTTGCTTAGACAACAAACACCAAAAAACAAACCAGCAAAACCCAGTTGACATGACTTCACAAACACGTAAACACTGAAAGACGACTCAAATATAGAACGTAACTCGATCAGATAATTCAATTTTGTGACACTTTAGTGGGCTTATTTTGGGGTGGAACCTGGCGAGCGGCGTGCATGGGGAGAGTGAGAAGTTCTGTGGCTTCATTAGTTTGTTTGATTAAACTCTTGACTCGAATTTACAAATGAGTAATGTCTAAATGTCTAAAAGTCTAAATAAACTTCAAGTGATTTCTGCAGTTAGTTAAGCTAAAAAGTTAAAGCTCAATCAAAGGGTCTTATGAGCTTTCTATACCCTGTTTGTATACCCTTTAAAATGAAATATTAATATTTTTCTCCTGTGGGAATAATAAAAATCCAATTTTTATATTTTATTTTATAAAAAAAAGCGAATGTTTTGTGTATAAAAATATAGATTCGCATTTTGTAAATACCCTGTAAAGAAATGCTTTTATTGTTGCAATTCTAAAACTTATTTTAAAAACATTTATGATCGATAACTCAGAGTAGATCAATAATTATCGATGAATGCCGCATTCAACACTGCACAGCTGCAATATAGAATTTGTTAGCAGTCGCACGTTAATTGAAGTAATATTTTGTTTTCAAGCACTTACCATGCTTCATCTGATTGTTCCACATAAATTATCAAGCTTGTGGCAAGTGGCAAATGTAAATTACAGTAATTTATCCACTTGCTGGCGCAAATATTTGATGACAATCTCGCATGCAACTGCCCAAAGTGCCTTTCACCAACTAAAACTAAAAGGAAAAGAAAAAGAAAAACACTTTGTGGCATCCACCAAAACATGCCCCATAAATATACGCGAGTCACCTAACGTAACTTCGAGAGAGAGCGAGAATGTTGGTATTCGATTCCGATTACCACAAGTGCATTGGAGGCCATGAGTAATGCAAATGGAACCTGGACACGGGAAATTGATACTTGGCTTACTTTGAACTCGAACAACTGCCCGCTGAGGTCGTCGAAATGGGGAATTCAATCCAAAAGTATTCGCTAAATTAGTTGATATTTTATTTCAGTGTCAATTTGCAAACAGAATTTTAGTGGTAAATGACTCCTGCAAATGCAAATGAGGAGGGATACGATTATCGAGTTTTAAATACTCTATCAAATGAAATTATTATTATTTTTTATTATTATTATACATATATTTATTTATTTATATATTTAAATATTTATATATTTATATATTTATATATTATATATTTATATATTTATATATTTATATATTTATATATTTAAATATTTATATATTTATATATTTTTGTATATTTATATATTTCCTATAGAACTGCAAACATTATCTATATCAAAAGACTTTATCAATTTTATACAACATTTCGCCAGGGTATATAAATATCTATAATTCTAAAATATCTTAAGTTGGCTTCATAATTTCTTTATATTAATTTGCCATTATTAAGCTTGTTCCGAACTATTTTGTAAAGCTTCCTCAAGTTTGTTCTTGATCTCGTCTTTCGGTTTGGCGTCTTCCAAAACGAGAGCTTCAATTTTCTTGAGGGTCTCCGCGATTCTTTTGTTGTACTCGTCCTCCTCACTCGTGCTCTGTTGCTTCGCCGCTGGGCTGTCGCCTTTGGTGCGTCGACCCATGGTCAACTTGGTAATCAGATGCCTTGGCACACGCACCTCGGCGCCAATGCGATTCGCGCTCTTGTACTGCGCCAGGACGCGCATGAAGGGCTGCAGGGGACAGCCCCTGGTCTGCGCCTCGACCATCAGTCGGTTGTGCGTTAGTCCACGAAGCGAGCATCTTCGCGCAGGCATTCCAGCTGCGCCAATCGATTGTAGTTTGTGGCCGGACGTGCCTGCTCGTCGCGCCTCTGCTGTTCCTGCTTGTCTAGCTGGGCGCGCAGCTCGTGTTGGCGTCGCAGTTGCTCCTGGCGCTGCTGCCGCTTGAACTGCACCGTGAATGCGTTCGTTTTCCAATCGCCTAGCCACATCGTCGCTGTGCTCGAGCTTCGCCTGCTGCTTGGCGGCCTCGGCGTGCTGCTGTTTCGACTTGCTGCGTGGCCAGGCGCTGCGCTTTGGACTGCTCTCGCCGCTGGCGATGTTCCTGCTGCTCCACACTATGCGCACGTCGCATTTCTGCCAGCTGTCGCTCGTGGCGTCGCTGATCCTCGCTGGCGCTGTAGTGCAGCCGAGGTGCTAGCTGCTGTGCCAGCTGAGCGTTGCGCTGCAGTCGCCGCTGTACGCGCTGCTTGGCCAGATCGATCTTCAGGTTGTCAGCCTGGCTTTGGCCTCGTTGTGCACCTCACATAGCGCCAGTCCACCTTGTCCAGCAGCTGCTGCTGCTTCCGTTGGTGTCTCAGCTGACTCCAACGATGCCAAGGCGTATGGCGTCTCTGGCTGCACCTTGGCAGCCTGCTCCGTGCGCTCCTTATCCAGCTGCTGCTTCACTTGCAGCTGATTGCGTTGTCGCTCCAGACGTTCCAGTTCCCTGCTGCTCAGCTTTCTCGGCGTTGCGTTCCAGCTGACGCTGCTCGATGGATTTGAGCAGCTCGCGCTTGTGCTCGCCCAGCTGCTGGCTTCGCTGTTGTTGGCGCAACTGCGCCTCCTCCAGCCCGTTGAACACCTGTTCGCTGTAGATGCGTCTGTCCAGCGCTTGCTCTGCTGCTCGTTGGCTGCCGCAAACTGTGTCTGCAGCTGCCGCTGAGCAATGATACCGCGCAGCACCTCGCTTTGCAGCTTGGCACAGTGCAGCTCACGTGGACCCGGCCGCAGTTGTTCCAGCAGCTGTTGCGCCTTCTCAATGCGTTGCTTCTGCCTAAGCTGCTCCTCGCGCTGCACTGCAATGCTCTCCTCTTGCGCTCGTTCTTTCGCCAATTGCTCTTCTGCTGCTGCTGCAGCCGGTCTCCTTACGGCATTGCTCCTGCTCCGTGGCACAGAGATTGCGTCCGGCAAAGCGACGCAGTTAGCTCCTCGCCGCCCAGGCGCACCTGCTCTTCGCTTAGCTACGTTGCTTCTGGCTTTCTTGCCGCTGCTGCTCAGCCGCTTTTGTTGGCATTAGCCTGCAGCCGGCATAGCGCTGCAGCGATATCACCAACGGCGGCTTCTCGCGTATCCTCCCACTGGCGTCGTTCCTGCGGCAGCCAACTGTACTGCATCGCATTTGACTAGAGAATCTACTGAAAGTTTTCTTGTTTTCTGTCATTTGCCAGCTGCTTATTATAGTCGTGTTTATTAGCTGTTGTCAAGGTGCCCGATGCGTAGTTATGGGAATGCCTGTTACATGTTTTATATACATATTTGCAGCACTTATTTTATAGTGGCAAAAGGAAGAGAGAAGACTTAAGTAGAGCTAGAAAGGAGTGACAATTGAGAGCTAAAAAGTGGGGAAGGAAAAATAGAATTTTGAAGTAACTGAGTGTAAAAAAATAAAGAAAGAAAATGGGAATTGAAAGATATACAATATCATATCATATACATATAGAGATCAGATTTTTTTAAAATAGAAAATATTAAATAAATTATAAATTTCATTTATAAAATAATATTGCAATCTCTCCTGGGTCAAGTAAAAGTATATAAGGGATCTGTAAATTTTAGATATTTATATATACTAATATATATTTATATATACTAATATATATTTATATATACTAATATATATATTTTATATTGACTAAAATTTCTTGTGCCTTTGTGAACTTATTTAATATTTATTTAAATATATTTAGAAGATTTCTTTTGAATTTTTATTTATTTATTTATTTATTTTTATTTTCATTTTTATTTTCAAAAATTTCGACTGGAGTTCACAGCTTATTCGCTGAGTTGTATCGCTCACTTAGTTTTTTATTCTAATAACCAATCTCTTATCTACGCAAATTTAATTGATTTCAGTCTCCGAATGGCCTGAGTTATTCGGATTTGCATTTTTCTAATACATTTAACTACTAATTGTGATACTTTGTGTAGGAAAAATGTCAATGTTGTCAAGTCACTTAGGCCAGAAATGTTGTCATTATTTTGATTAATAGCCAAGTTAGCGCTTGCTGACAACTGTCAACGCAAATGGCGAACATTTCCCAAATGGCCATTCGCGATGGCTTAATTATGTCCAAACTATGTCTTGGCCACATTTTGCAAGCAACTGCAACAGCTCAATGTGCATCTGGTGACGGGCTTTTCTGATAAACAAAAAAAAAAACAACAAAAAAAAAAAAAATATTAAAAAATTGTTGAAAGTGCGCAATTTACGGGCTACTTCACCGATGCATGCTACACACAACTGGTCGCTAGTTGAGCTCAGTTTCGGAAATGCCCACAAACTCAAATTGTCAACTCATTTCCCGATTGCCTATGACAAGTTTCGGTGCTGAGAGCTAACCGAACCCAGAAAAGGGCACCAAAACAAATCTGCTTGGGCACGCTTCACTTGGCGCCCATTGAAATCCAGTGAATCGTATCTGTATCTCTCTAGCTGAGGCTCAAATAAATTTAATTAACACTTAACTGCGAATGGCCACTAAAAGTCTTACAATGAACTCTTTGTAGACTCTGTAAAAAATATCTGTAATATATTTTTCAACACAAACATTTGTAGACTGGCCGCAACGCTAGACAGATCTGAGAAAGATAACGCGTTTTATATTCATTGAAGTTTGTGGATCAAAATCGGGTTGAATATATTCGAGTTGTGCCAATTTTAAGTACTTAGCATACAGAAGCAAAAGTAAAGTGAAATACTGAAGCGTAACAATCGGGCCGGGCCCTTGAATTGGGTCAGTGATTCAACATTGTATACGGCGATATAGGCTACGACGGCCCTGCCCATAAATAAAGCCAATAAAACACGCGATAAAGGCGAACTAGTTAGTCGTATCTATAAGAGTGTATAATAGGCTATGCCACTCGTAGCTCTGTCTACTTATCGAAGTGGCATTAAAAGTGATTTCAAAGTTTATCGATCACTGTTTAGTTATGACATCTATGCGGCATCTACTTCAGCGACATTTACGGACTACTGCTTAGAAAATTTGAAATGCAATGGAATCTTTCCAATTGAAAGCCCTTGACATTATCTGTTAAGTATCTTCTGTTAAGTGTGGAGTCATGTCATGTGTATGTTAAATCTCTGTTAAGTTTAACATTTATGTTAAATTTCGACAGCAATTTGAGTGTTAAGTATTTATTAATTAATCTATAAATATAAATATATATTTTATAAAAGTTTTCTACGTAAATAGTAGACAAAGAAACGTATAGCATTTCAGTCAGTTTTAGATAAGATTTTACACCTTTTCGTTGCTTGCTTTATCTATATAAGTTTAGCACATCTTCATAAATATTAAACTTTTGCTGTAATATAGTCAATTACTTAGCAACGATAATCTTATCTTATCTGAGGTAATTGATTCCTCGTAAGCTTCAACTGATGGAATTATAGACTTTAGGTATGGATAAATAAGTTTTACAGCAATAGTTTGCCAGCTGAATGCAATTGTTGCTAGTTCACTTCCACGTCAAGTGCAAATGACAGCACTAAACAACTGGACAACTTGGCAGCTGGACAACAACCAACAAAAACAACAACAGAAGCAAAATTGTGCCTTCTTGCGGTCAAGCTCTGTGTCTTGGCCCTTGTTCGGTTCGGCTCTGGGCTGCTGTTGGTTGCCACTTGAATGACTTCATGTGCCCCTGTCGGAAAACTTGAAAAACTTGTCTTTGTCGAGAGGTAAAGCCAGGGGCAGTGTCTGGAACGAGAGCCATAGCCACACGTACCTTATGCAGTGGGCTCTTGGGCAGGAGAACAACCAGGTGAGAGGAGCGAGAGAGATAAACAAGAACAAGAGCAAGAACAATGATGGCGACTGGGACAACAAATGAGTGCAACTGTTTCTTATAGAACAAACTTCATGCAGTTCCCCAGTTTAGCTTCGTCCAGTTTTTCAGTCCGAAAAGAGAAAGAAGCGAGCATTCGCAAAAGCACAAACAATGTCCACTGACTGCTCTGCTGCGAGCTCCAAGTTTGGCCAGCAACGAGACGAGGTCGCCGTCTACCACTTTGTATCTTCTGCAGATCTTAACTGCGTCTCGGAACGCGTCCACATTCGCCAGTTGTTCGTCTCGATTGTGGTTCGG